TGCTATTTTTATGTAGCAGATTGACCCCACGCAGCACTGTCAAAACTGGGCTGCGACCTACTTTTTCATTCAGCAGGGGGCCTTTGTATTAGAGCGTCTTACAGGAGCTTTTTCTGGGGGTGACGTGTGTTTGTTCATCTCTCTGTTCCTTCTTTATCTGCTGTGTAATAGATGAGGGCTTTTATCTGTATCCTTAACTCTAATGGAATCACAGTGTTTTTTGTGTGGAGGGCAAATACACCTGTTTAGGTGGAGCTCAGTGCAGTGTGGAAGCTTTGAGAAATGGTTATGCTGTAACTCATTTTGGAATCAAATCGATACCCTTACCATCAATAATTCATGAGGTGGACTCAATGGATCCCCACTGATTTGTGGTAATGTAAGTAAAGCTGGCTTAGATGAAGAGAAACTTGTGTGTTTCAATTTAAATTTATAGTCATTTTTTATCATGATTTCTAAATTATAATTAAACTATATATGTACATATATATTATTATAATATGTTATATTAAATAAACCACATGTTAGGTCAGATACCTCATACTCCACTGTGTCTCTTTTTTAAAAAGTACATTTCCTAAGATAAAGAACCAGCAGTCATCTTACTGCTTCTGCTGATTTCCAAAAATAAACCGTGGTTCATTGAAGTGCTGCCTTTTAATGTGTTCTCTGCTGGAATATTTGATTTTGGATTTGGTTTAACCGTCTGTAGATCCATGAATGTGTATAATAACGTGGCGGCTTTCTAAAGAGATTAAAGAATAATCTGGCTCCACAGTCAGGCTAAATCATCAGTGTCTATCAACAGTGGCTCCACATTCTACATTTCATTGTTTGATCTGAAAATTGGCTGGATCAATATTCCCTTTTCAGTATTGTAGTTGTTTTTTAACACATGGTCATGATGATAGGTGCAGTGCCTTCTGCCAACTGTATTTGTTGGACGGCCTGAATCTTTCCAGACACACTGGAATTAAATAAAAATTACATTTTTGTCTAATGTTATTTGGGTCAAACTCTGGAGTTGTAGTAGTTCATATGATGGAGTAACAGCTGTGGTTGTGTGTTAAGCACTGCAGACGTGTTCTGATCACAGTAAACTGTACTCACTGGTACCATGTCTCAGTATTTCTCTATTTTTTATTTCTAAGTAATTGAGATCAATCCAGCTTTAACCACATCACTGCCAGGATAATTCTGCTCTAAACCTTCTGTGAATGACTGATCGCAGGCACGGTGTTGCTCACATTGGTGTCTCTGTTTGGGGGGGCGGGGCCGTTGGAGCGACATCTTGATATGAAACGATCCTACTCTGACCTCTTCATCATCCCCTCCTCCACCCTCTTGGTTCCCCCTCCTGTTATTCACCCTCCACCCCCCACCTCACTGGATCTGTCTCAGCTGATAAAGGCTGACATCTTTTGTGAAGTTGCTCACTTGATTATGCAGCTAGCACGAAGCCAAGCACAGAAAAAGGGACGATTTCACCCAGTGTCCTCAGGGTAGGATACGCAGTGGTGATAAATACCGACGATGACAACATTAGTCGTTGAAGTGCTGTAGAAGAATCCTGAACTTTGTCTCCAGCGTTCCTGATGAGATGTAATGTAATTGCTGATTTCAGAGTAATGGGGTTGAAAATTCTAAGTGAAGGAAAAGGAGATTGAAATTCAAGCAGAGAGATTGGGGGGAAAAAAAGGACCTTGAGTGGAAAAATCAAACCCTGAGCTGTTTCAGCTGTGGGGATGTCCACAGTGTGATTTATGGACCAGATGAAATGGCCTTGTTTGAGAGCTGTCGGGTCTGGGTCCTGTGATTTACCCTGATATCTTGACTGCTCTCATCACATGCATTCAGCCTGTGAAGACGGGGAGGGGAGAGGATGGAGGAGCCATTAATTCTGATTATAAAAGAGCACGCTGTCTTTTGTGCGCTGCTGCTGTTACGTTTTTTTCCCCTCTTCTTACTGTATATCAATTAAATGACGGTTCTTAATGGAAAGACTGGTTCTTCAGTGCTGGGTTTCCGTGTGTACTCCTTCACTCTGGGCTTGTTGTCTGGCCTAATCTTCTAAGTGCAACTATTAAGATCATTTATAATATATGAGTCATTATACTTACAGCAACAGTCTGGCTGCAGAGTGAAGGACAGGAAGAAGAGGGCTTTTCAAATTTCACTGGTTTGACTTTTCTTTTCCTCATTTTCAGCGTTGAGCTTATTAGTGTTCCAGAAGACTAGAAAATAATCTTTGAAACCCAGCTTCACTGAGCTTCACTCATTACTGAGATTAAGAACAGAGTTAGAGATGGATCCATCATCATGCCGACTCCTGGGAACCTCCACAGATCATTACAACATTTCACTGTCTATAAACACCAATAAACATATAAATATATAGAACTTCAACACGCAGGTCTGGAGTAATGTTTTCAATGATGGCACTGTGTCACATTTAAATGTGTATTTACTTATTGCTTAAAACGACTTCCTAACTTCCTGTAACAGTTATATATTCAAGTTTCCAGCATATACATCTATGTTTAACCTATTATAACTTATTTGATCTATTATTTTTATTTTTTTCTGCATGGCAGTTGACCTTGAGGGTTCTTCCTCTAGCATAGATCCCTGATCTTCTGAAGAAGGTAGAACATAGAACCAGGTAGAAAATAAAGTGGGTTCCTAAGATGAGAAGTTTTTGTTTTTCAGCCAATGGAAAAAACACAAAAAACTGTAAGATTTGGACGTTTTTGCAGATAATCTCTCTCCTTGAGGCTGAAGAGCAGAGAAGATGGACATGTCTTTGGAAAGCCTGGATATGCAAAAACACACAGGGACCTGTAACATGTACCAACATACCACAGGCAACTGCAGTACTGTGTACTGTTATCATATTCCAACTGCTACTAAAACTACCAACACATCCACAGCAGATAGTACCAACATTGAAAAAAGCCCATGAGCTCCAGAGACAGAAAAACAGAGTCATTTAGGTTCTGTCAGTATTGGTATAGTTACAGTTACTTACAGTAAAATGTCAACTATAGCAGGGACAGAACTTACAAACACTGTTTTATATCCAAACAGTCTTCTTTCTACAGCCCCAGTGTCTCCAGACTAAAATGAATGTTTGCATAGTTTTTTTTCTTCCCCTGATTGTAAAAAGCCCCCTGTAGCACACAAACTGCTCCTTTTCAGAAGTGTTGCTAGGATACAGACCAGCGTGAAAATGGAATCACTTCTGTATTGTTTTCCTGCAGCTGTGAAGCTTGGACAATATGCCCAACTTATTGTGTGTATGTGTATTGTATGTGTGTGTGCCCTGCTTGTCCCACTTCACTTACTGTATGTGTGGCACCGTGCATGTGCTTGAATTTATGGTGTGATGTGGTTTGCGTGAAGCCGGGCTGGAGAGTTTAACAAATTTTAACCCCATAATCCGTTTCCAGCGATGAGGCCTCATTTGTGTGGAGACGCTGAGATCTCAATCCGCTGTCACTCTCCTGGGTGTGTGACAGCTGACACCTCAGGCTGTTTTCAAAGATCCAATCGTCTGCTCCGTGTTCAATTACACTGCAATCAATGCACAGCAGTCCTGCATGACCTGAGAAACAATGGAGCGCTTTAATACTGAGCTGCACTCCTGAGCTAGGCTACAAGTAAATATACATCCATATAATGTACATATATGTCTAAATCTTTTGTGAGTAGCATTAACAGATACCCATACCACTAGTATCAGGCCTAATAAATAAGTGATGGGTGTTTTCTACTGCAGTTCAGCGTCTCGGTGCCTTCATGGGTAGGTTAAAGTAAATACAAACATTAACTAGGTCAACTAAGTCCCCGGTTTGGAAGAATTTTAACATTAGGGACAAAGACAGGAGCAAAACAAAGATTTGTTCCAAGAAGAGACGTTAGCTCTGGATAGGCTAACATCTCTTCTCAGTTTGATGACACGGTGGATAGATATGACGTTTACACCTCATCAAGTCAATTTTTTTTTTTTTTAGACTTGTTTAACCAACAGTATGTGTGTTAATTTGTTTAATGCCAGGAGACAGTGTTTTCAATTGAAATGTGTGTATAACTTTGTCTCTCTGCTTAGCTAGCTGTGTTGTTGTCCTTTATTTTACTGATACATTGATCTCACGTTACCAAACTGGTTCACTGCAGGAAAAAGTTTAGGTTGTTTATGGTTGTTTGGCTCTATATTGGACGCTGTGAACCAAGAGCCACCCAGAAGGAAAACATTTGAACTGCAATCATCTTGTTCTTGTCAGAACCATGTGCTCCACTGCTCTGACAGCTGTTGCTTTTAATATTGTATTGCGTGGTACCGATGCTGAGAGCCACTGTCCTGGTACGACGTGAACGTCTCCAGGGCAGTGAGTGAGCGGTGACATGACCACTTATCCAAATCGGCGTTAAAGATTTCCTCCGGCAAGTCTGGGAACGTCAGACTTCAGACGTCAACGGTCGGACGTGCCTGTGCTGTGAGAGTAGACAGGAGCTGTTATAAATACAGTGTTATCATTCAGGCTGTTGAATACACACGTGTTTAAGATGAATTTTCACAGAGAGTGTTTCAGTGAGATACTTGTGTACTGGCAAAAAATAAATAAATAAAAAAAGTTGGGTTTTTTTCCAACAACAAAAGCCGTGTGATATTATATAATATATTTGCATTTCCACTGGCTGTTTTCTTTACTTTGTAGTTTTGCTCAACAAGCAGAGCCTCTCTGTTTACTCCAGCATTACATTCTCTTTCTCAACTGTCGGGTTTATTTTATTGTGCAGTAAATATTGGTTTGTTTGATGTTTACACACAGGACCAAAATGTGGAACACTTTGTAGATTTTGTTTTTGTTTGCAGTGTTTCTCTGAGTTCGAGGGAAAATGTTATTTTTTATCACGTTGCTGTTTCAGTAAACAACCCCGGCACTAGCTCCGTTGACCATCCTCCATCTTCTGTCTCTTGTTTTTTTTAAGGAAAAAAGTCCGACAGTCCTGCTAATGTTTCTTCAGCTCGTCTTCTAGCTGTAACGCCACCTGGTGGTTTTCACTTCAGCACCATGCTGCACCTCGCCCTGCTGCTCCATCTCCTGCTCCTCTCACACTCCTCTGCAGGTCAGTTTTACATCCACCAATGTTTCAAAAATGTTCATCACAATTATTTCTCTTTTTTAAGTAGATCAATTTTAAAGTCTTCCAGCTCAGATTCCTTCAACTAATGTTTTTAAATTGTATAGTACATATTTTTTACTCACCCTTTTGTTTTGTGTTGTTCACAGTTTGTCCAATTGTCAAAAATTATTATCTCAGAAAATATGTTCAGGAAGATATTACATGTTTTGGTGGTTTTAAATGTATTTAAAAGTTACTAAATGCAAAATATATGTTCAGATTTTGAACAAATTGTTGAACAAATTGTTCTATGGTTAGTTAGTTTTAATTTAGAATGAATCGTTGAATTAATTGCACCTGAGGTTCAAACATTTGCAGTAATTCCAGTGAACGAGGCTGCAGTGTAGATTTGTTGGCCCTGAGAGGCAGTTTTTTCCCCTCGTTCTTTACGTGCACTCATCTGTGATGAAAATAAACCAAAGTGGACAGAAAACGGCAGCCCTGAGAATGACCTGTCGAGAGCCACGCGGCCACCGCTGTGCTCCCACACCAGAAGCTGTTTTCACACTTTTAGATTGGATTACACATGGAACACTGACACGAGGCGGGAGATCTGGGGCTTTACACGGTTTTATTCTACTTGTGTCTTTAAATTGTGTTTTTGATCAAACAAATATGGATGTTTTGTGGTGAAATATATAACTGTTTGTTTTTGTGTTTATTTTAGATGTGTCGCTTCGTGGGGAGGCATCGGACTTTTATAAAAGTGAGTAATTAAATTCAAGGCTCCTGAACTGTGGTGCACCTTTTATATTCACTTCATCACACTTGTGATGAAAAGGTTGTACGTCAGCTGAGGGCGGAGCACGAAACTGAAGAATAGTTGAGCCAAGACGACAGTTTTTATAGGTCTTTTATTAAAATAAATCCTCATCGTATCAAGGATTTATGGGAATTTTTCACATTGCTTAAACATGAGAAACATAAAAGCAACAAAAACTCAAAGAGACAACATGTGTCAGAGCTCAGTGATGCTGTGGCCTTCAGGCTTGGAGGAGGAACCAGGCTGTTTTTTTCATGGCCAAGGCGACAACATCACGTGTGTGGCAGGAAATCTTAGTTATGCTCTAACAGATCATGTTTGAATGGCTGGAAGACCTGGAATTAAGTTGATGAAGGAACATGCAGATGGCTGTGATGACTGTCTCTAATAAGGCTTAATGTTCTCCAGAAAAACATGCACCGGTTCTTATAATATTAGGGAACCTTCTGGCAAACAGGCGGACCCCAGGGAAAGACACTCAAATAAGTTTTTTTTTTATTATCAACAATGGTTTATATATATATATACTGTATATCTCATGTCACTGATTCAATACAATAGTCTAATTTTATGACCTCCTTCATTGTCCCTCTCTGTTCAAGCCAGACTCTACTCATCTACTAAAACCCCAAACAAAGAGAGTCTGCATCTGGTTCCACTGTACAGGGCTGAGCCTCCAGCCACTCCAGTCCCTTTAACAGTAAATTACACCAGGATCTGGTTGTCAGGGTCTGGTGGGGAACAGGCAGTGGGAATTGTTTCTATTCCTGGGGTCTGCAAAAGGACTTGACTAATGATCTTGGTCGTCTGTTGCCATTTTTGGATTTCCTCCGCTTTCATGTGTGCATCTATAATGGTGCGAGACAGTGCAGTGTCCATGAGGATGGACACAGGAGTCCGAAATGGAATTACAGGAACTGGGCCTCATTTTGGGAAAGAGGCAGGAGATGACATTTATATCCTCTCTCTCCTGTGTGTACCTGTGAGTGGAAGTATAGCCCACAGCCGTTCAGGTATTTCATAACCTATATTACAGTATTTTCACCTTTATTATTATTATTATTATTATTGCACCACGGCCAATGTTAGTTTCAATAAACCTTCTGGCCCCTATTTATTCTAATATGTATGCACAAATATATATTTATATATAAAAGTTTGAAAACCACCTTTTCTTTTGTTTTCATGTTGAGCTGTTCCAATAATACCTGAGTTCATATATTGACGTGTTTCTTTTAAATGCGCGAGGTACAGACCGGAGTGTAATGAGGCAAAATAATAACACACCTTGTCAACTGACGTCGATACCAAAATCAATATTGTCTGTTAAGTCCCATTCCGCTCGGTTTGGTGTTAATAACGTGACAACAACGCTTACTGCTCTATATATGTGGATAAGAAATGGGTGAACGAATATATATATATTTTGATGTCATTAATGTGATGTATTTGCCTGGTAGAGTGTAAATATGGGGCCAATTGATCTACAGAAATACTACTGAATGCTTTACTATTTCCCCTGTACTTACTGGACTGTTCCCCTAGGGGTCACAGAGCTGCTGTTGTACACAGTAACTGTGTAACTGCAAAAAGACTCAAAATGGCAACTGAAAATAGACCTTATCCAGTGTTGCCTTCCAATCTAGAGTTTGTTGGATTTATTTGCTTGAAATGAAAGTGCCGTTACTAGAAGCCCAGGTTTTATGGTGGAATCTGTGCCAAAGTATTTTCCTGGCCGGCTGTCCCTATGACGTTGCCAGGCAACTAGTTGAAACTTCAGAATTTATCTCGCCGACAAACTGTCCAGAAATAGCCTATATTGATCATGTTGTCAACTCAAAGAGAGAAAGTGGCTTCATGTATTTCCCAGGATGTCCAACTGACTTTTTCTACAGTGAGTGTGTTGGTCAAACACAAAGCCTGTACAGGACACTCAACCCAGTCCTTTGAACCAAGTACACAATACTGCAGTCCCTGTGGTCACTACTGCATCTGCATTAGAAAAACTCAGTGTGGTATAATTTATTGAGAAAAATAAACCACAGTTAGACAGTCAACACAGTCAAGACGTTGATGATTCCTTGGTTGGAGACTTCTGTATGAACTGTATGATGACTCCTGTTGGTTGAATAGTCCTGGAATTCCCTGAGGAGAAACTTTCTTTCTCCTACTCCTCCATCTCCTGTTGTTGTTTTGTTTACTTCTCCATTTTCCACCTCCTCCGCTCAACCAGTGTGACTCAGAGTCTGGACATTTACACATTATCCCGACCTACCTATAGAAATAGCACAGCGAGCTGCACAAGAGAAACTCCACAGACAGTGGGAGAGAGTGAGACAGTCGACGGCTGTGGTTAATATTTTTATATCAAGGCTAAAATATGTGTAAAAAAAGTTGTTTAAGATGAATGAACGTGGGCTCTGTCAAACTGGGACAGTGATTAATGTGAAGTCATTGATGGAGTCTGAGACAAGACCATACTCATAGGTAAGAACTGTGTGAAAGCAGCAGTCCAGGCAAAATCTGTATACTGTGGTACATCGGTTTTCAAACTCAATCAGTTCCTGAAAGCCGTTCGTGAATCGAAAAGTTTGAAAACTGAAACAATTTTCCCCATAGGAATCAATGTAAAATGGATTAATCTGTTCCTGGACCCCAGATGACTGCTTATTCAATCTTTTATGACGTTATTTTGTGCACAGGTTCATACACAAAACCAATGAAAATGATTAGATATAACAAAAAAACAAAAACAAACAAAAAAAAACCCACAACTGAATAAAAACTAAAACTCTAAATAGGAAAGGCAATTTCATATTGATATTGTTCTGCAACAAGTTTTGGTACGACAACCGGGGCAATATTTGGTTAAAAATTTTGTCATGAATCGAAATGGGAGGCGTTCGACAACCAAGGTTCCACTGTATATTTAACTATTGTGTTTGTGTGTGCTGTCTTAGGTAACGTATTTTCCCTAAAATCCCTTTTTTGAAGCTTTGTGACTGTATATAAAGTACTTAAAACGTATTATAAAATCAAAAAACATGCAGTACAGATGATTTGTACTCCCGTTCTGAAGACACCAACACCAGGGAACTGCTCCTAAACACAATATGCTCACATACAGGTGTCAGGGTGAGTCAAAAAATCCCCAGCAAAAAAAAAAAAAATGTTTGACTTATATTGAAAAAAATATCAAGCACTTAGAAGTAAAATCCATAACTAACTAAAATGCTCATATCATTGAGAAAATAACCTCCACATGGGAAACACCTGTCAATAATCCTGCACCTCTCTGCACCAGTGGTTTGGTACTTATTATGAACAGTAAATTATAGACTCCTGTTTCAATAGCACTCACTGTTTTCAAGCCTAACATGATGATTGTATGAAGTGGTAATCCTAAACTGGTCAACAGACAAAGAGAAGAATCACTCGCTGATGTTGCCTTGGTCTGAAATATCAGAATGAATAATTGAACACTATCATACCACGGTTTGATGTGGTCTGCCACCATGCTTTATTCTGAGTAATTACTGGCCCACTTTGTCTTTGTGCCTCAAAGAATCAATATGTTGTCTGTCCCACGTGGGAGGGGTCTTCGCTATATGCTAATAACCCACGGTACAGATGTTGTTAAAACAAACAGCCGTGTCAGCTGTGCACAAGGGAAACAAGTCAATTATTTGACTATGTTGATATGGGAAAAATGTATATTTACCAAGAATTAGATCCAAATATAATCACATTTCTAATGTCTAATTAGAGATATTTGTCAAGGGGGAACACAGGCTTATGAAATAACAGGATACGTGAGTTGTTCTAAGTTCTAAAGTGACATAGGGCTGAAACGGAGTCTGTGTCAAATGATGAAGTCTTTTCTGAGAAAGCTGTCCAGTCGACCCTGGAGACAGGTGGCTTGGGGCTTGTGTGCATCTGTCCTGAGAGAACTGCTCTCTTTTCCATTGTGCTGTAGTGTGGGAGGGAGGAAGTGCACATAT